GCAGTTATACAAGGAATGCAGAATTAATAAAATAACATCCAAATTGACACTCCAATCTACTACTGTTAGAACCCTTCTACACATGTACTGATCGTAAGGTTTTGTATCGAATGAAAGTACTTGAAATCGTAAGCGTTCAGAAACAAAGCCAATCGATCACCGTACGTACACTGTAGAACCGTCATACCGGTAAGCAGTCAAGCACTCACTGCAGTACAGTACTTTACGGATCTACAAGGCCTTTGAAAGACTATCACTGCATATAAGTTTCAAGAGTTTTTTGTGGATAAGGTACTTCGCTTGTCGGAATGGAACGAAGGACTCGTTGCTGGCCGTACAATTCCCTCATTAAGACAGTTCCACTGTTGTTTTGACCCTAAATACTGTTTCAATAAGATTTATAAGGAACTTTGTATGCTCAGATCACCTCACCTGTTACTAGGGGTGTTAGCATCGTATGCTTGGGCGAAACGGCTCCCAAGAAAATGAAGGATCCTACTCCTCCGCCAAATCTCAGTATTATCTCAAACTGAATAGCCCAGAGCATCTACCGTAGTCTGCTGCATGTTGTGGGCTTGATCGCATTCCAATACGTGGAGTATTGCATGAGGAATAGCTTCCTTCATTTTGTCAGGAGCATATATTTTATGATTTTCATCTCTTCAACACCAAGTAGCCAAAAACGAATTTCGAATGTATTTTTTTACAGAATGCAATAATATCTTGATCTGGAAATGGCAAGTTGGACTACAGTGGTACTTCGAATATGCCATGGATACCGATATGATTGGCTTATTTAACCCAATCCTTAGTTTGGCCCAATTGTTCTCAAATATGTTTGGATAAATTTGCAGAAACTTCGGTAGTATAAGTAAGGCCCAACGGGCATGTCGTTCACTGCACTCGCAGTATTTTTATTGTTCTTGAGAATAGTATTTTGACGATTTTAATTCAAAGTTGCAATCAAAGCAATAGGAAATCTCAGTGGCATTTCAATACAAACCACAAGTCAGATATACTTGAAATTTGGAGCTACTGTAATCTGTTTCATACTAATATGAAGTACTTCCCAAAATTTCATCAAAATTGGATTAGTTACGAAAATTCGGGAGTCTTTTCGCCCAAACGTGCTCACCAGGAGTCCCAGGGTACGGATACTGGAGAAAAGGTGTATCCGGATGTAAAAATTCCCTCATTGAAACAGTATTTCGGGTCAAAACAATGGTGGAACTGTTTTAATGAGGGAATTCTCCGTCAAATGCATCAGGTTCTTGATGAGAAATCAGCCGAGAGCCTGTTGATTCTATTACATCTTAGTACAATAAGTGCCAACTTAACGCTATAAATCCAGCTTGTACTGCCAACAGCATGCAGAAGTCCACCGGAACGGTAGAATAAAATATCTACGTATACTAATTGTATACCACTTACGCTTTGGGCGCTGTCTTTTTATTGAAGTGATATTACTACTCTCCTTTTCACCTAAATTTGTACCGGGCAGTGTGACGGAGCTAGAGCATGGGCTTGTACTACTATACCACATCGTGGTATTACCATCGCAAAGGTATATTATTCGACGGGCCGACTACCTTCGAATTCGATCGTCTTGCCTTTTATTCTACAGGACCTCTCCCCAAGGGTCGTCAGCTTTAGTTAGCTTTTAGTTAGTTCACTTTTACATTTACCTAACATTGGATCTACTCCATTCTTGCTGTGTTCTTCTTGGTCAAGCCGAGAGTATCCGGTCCTGAAGTCCAACCTCCGGACCTTCGTAACTTTTGTGCGTCTAACCTCTACGACCGTCAGAAAAATAGTGGAGAAGCAGGGTAACTCTCCTGCCAAACCAAGAAATCCAGCACACCTGGATGAGCAAAGGCCTCTCGATCCACCTCCCGTCCAAGCAATCGCAGACAACACGGATGTCGCCTCAGCCGTCCCAACCCTGACCGACACGGGACTTGACCTCGTGAGCGTGGCGACGACGAAGTCCTCCTTAGCAGCAGTTCTGATGAAGAGTGTAAAAGTCAGTCTG